TGCCTGCTGATGATTTTGTACTACGCCGCCACCACTGTTGCCAACCCGGCCTGCCCGACGCTGCTCTAGTTACCTTCTCACATCAGACTCTCACCCGTTATACACCTTCAACGGTGCCTCTACCACAGCTGGGTGAACCCAGGGGCCGTGACCTGGTCTTGGCCTGCTCCAAGTCCATCCCCACCATCAGGGGCCCTGGTGAACAAGCAGGTCGGAGCTTAGATTCCGCGCCTTGGGGGAATCCGGTCTGTGGAGTGCTAGAGGCTACCGTGGTTGGATCCCTGACAAAGAACCCTCACTAAACCCCATTTTACAAGTTCACAAAAAGGATGTTGCAAAACTTCAGTGCAGAGAAGAGCACTTAAAGTGGTTGTAAAGGCTCACCTGCATGTATTCTATACTTACCTGAGCCCCATCTAAATCCAGCGATGTGCACCAGAGCCTCAGCTGTCACGTCTCTCCCTCCTCATTGGCTGAGACAGCCGTTGGCTCCTGCTACTGTCAATCACAGCCAGTGAGCCAATGAGGAGAGAGTTGGGGGGGGGGCCAAGCCACATCTGTGTGTGAATGAACAAAAAGAGCAGCGACTCTGGAGTGAGCCTGCTTGGATGCCTCCATAAAAGCAGATTGCTTGCTGTGGGGCACCAAAAGAACAGCAGGAGGTGTATAGGAGCCAGGAGCATTGGCGGGGGACCCATACATGAAGAGGAAGATCAAAAAATCACTGCAGAGAGCAGGAGAAAACCTCCAATAGTATAACAAATAAGTTGGTATTAGACAGTAATTTTTAAACATATCCATGCCTTTCAAATCAATTGGATAGGTGATATCAGGCCGGGAGGAGCTCAGATATGAGGTTCAAAATATGATCGGTACTGATCAATCAGAAACTCAAATTCCAAAGTGTGTGGACCCATGATCCGGGAGTGACAACAAGTGCAACCCCACGAATGGGTAAAAAACGCATATAGTGTGCGTTTAAAAAAGAACAATATAAAATCCTGGGATTTTCTATCGGTGCCCTTAAATGCCTCCCAATCAGAAACACAAACTGGACATAACAATTTTTGTAAAACAAAAACTTTTTGGATTTTTGAAAATTTTTTACCATTGCAAATACCCTTGGGGGCCTGCAATATCACACCCTCTCATTTACTTGTGTAGTGTCAAGCGTGCCCAGCCACCCCTGACCCTGAAGGTGATACATTTCCCTTTTCTGTGGAGCTGGGATAGTGATTCATGGTAACCAAGTCACACATCTGATGACCTTTCTATGGTGATGACGCAGGAATTTTATATTGTGCATTTTAAACGCACATCTGGTGAGTGCATTTTTTACCTATTCGTGTGGCTTGCACTTGTTGTCACTTCCCGGATCAGGACGTCCACCACACTTTGGAATTGTGATCTCTGATTGATCCACACGTTATTGCAAATCACGATTGATCAGTCCTTAAGGTGATATCAGATCACATTCACTGCACAAAGTTTATCAATATGTATTACTGTCTCGCGCTGCCCCCTTATTCCCACGGCCTGCTTGGATGCCTCCATAGCAGCAGCATGCTGTCCGACACACTCAGCAAGATGGAGGGCCAGGAGTACTGGCGGGGGACCCTCATAGGAAGAGGAGGATCAAAACCAAAGAAAGGGAAGGTAATGGCAGCAATAACATCAAGTATTTGTGAAATCTGCCTTTCCAATCAATTTATACTCATTGGATTAGGAGCTCCTATGAGGAAAGACCCCCAATCGGTTATACTGGGGAAGGTGCTATCTAGGGGGCGATGCTGGGACATCGGTTTGGCAGTCTTTGTCAACCTCTCCCTTAGGCTCCTTCACACCAATGCATTTTTTAGTGATTTTTTGCAGAAACGCACTACAGTCCATGTAACATGATTTCCTACGTTCACATCTATGCTTTTTTGAGCTGCTGTGTCTTTGGAAAGGGTCGGGGACTTTTTTTTTTTAAAAGCAAAAAGCAGCGTTTTTGCTACAATAGAGTTCAATGGAGAAGCTGCTGAAATGCAGGTAGTACATTTTTGCCATGTTTTGCTTTTTTACTCTGCCCAGCAACAAAAAAAATTACACTTTAATTTAAAAAAAAAAAAAAACTGAAGAAAAATGCAAAATGTAGCAAAAATGTGTGCAGAAAACACACAAATAAAATGCAAAAAGCACTGGAGAAAGCATCAAACACAAAATGCATATATGTGAACCAAGCCTTACTGGCCAGTACACGGGGCCTAAATCTGGCACTGGAGAGCTCAGAAGTAAGGGTAGATCTAGACGTACATCTACATCTCCCTGGCCCCTGAAGCCTGTTCCGTGTTCGGATCGCACTGACAGGCAACGAGGAAGCGATTTGACGCCTCTGTGCCACTTGTTTTTACCCCATTTTTGCCAACAAATGCCTTGCAACTGCATGCAATGCGAGCATTTGCAGTGCTTCCCCATTGACTTGAATGTGTAGCCCCTGACAATTGCTACAAGTCGGATCAACTTTGCAGTGGGGGCAAAATGAAACATCACGGCCAGTACATGTAAACACCCCCATCCCCTGCTAATTGTAGCTGAATAGGGGTGGTTATAGGCAGCAAAAATGTGGCTCAACCACTACTTTTTGCCACCCTCCAACCGTAAGTCTAAATGAGGCTTAGGTCCCTCTGAACTCGGGTCTAGGTGTCTGAATGGTGTCCCCAGTAAGCAATACTGTTCCTTTAAGTAGGGTGTAGTAGGGTATGGCCAGCAGTGCCTCCTATGGTGATGACCTGTCTGCTCTCACCCTATTGCCGGCCATACATGGGTTAAAATTCGACCTATTTTTCATCCGAAAATTGGACCCAAGAATAATCGGCCGATTTTCGCTCTGTTAGTGAGTCAATGGCACCGGGCGATTTTCGTGGCTCTTCCACTTTTCGGCAATAAGGCATGTTGGAAAATTTGTGAAAAATGACCGATTTTCAACTCGGTACTTGTCTGTTAATTCACCTGATTTATTTATTTATTTAATATATATTATATATAGACACACTTTACTGACATCCTAGCTAAGTAATTAGTTTGAAATAAAACTTTTAAACTATGTTAACTATATTGAATAAATAAATCAGGTGAATTAACAGACGAGTACCTTCAACTCAATGATGGTCAAATCGTACGATCGTTTTTCCAACAAGAATATGCGCCATGAGCCGTGACCTGGAAGGAACAGAAGTTTCGCCTGTTATATGGGGTGAACTTTATGACTCGGTCGGCCGATTTTCAAAATCATTGATGGCGCCATCGGATTACCGAGCGAACACCGTTTTCAATTTTCGGACGAAAAATCATTCGACCCATGTATGGCCTGCATTAGTCCAGGGCTCAGTGATATCAGCTGCAGATGTCTGATTTAACCCTGAAAGGGCTGAACCATCGCAGGTTGCAGGGTGGTTGTGGGCGCGGTTCCCATTCACCTGAATGGCTCACGTTCAGAAATAATATCACTACAAATGTGGGGGGGGGGGTAATTTTTGCTGCGTCATATGGCACCTGCATCATGTTTTCCTTTAGGTGGGCGGTCAGGAAAAGAAGGATGTAATACCAGAGACCTCAGATTTACCTCCAGGGATCCATAGGTTCCTCATACCATTCCACTGATTTTCTCAGCACAAACTTTGATTTGTATGATGTCATTTCCAATGCCTAGTATCAGTTTTCTCCTGAGAATGGCCCATCACATGCAGGGTGTAGTCATTATTGGACACCCCCCCCCCTCTCTGTGGAATGGTACAGCCCACAGGTATATAAGCCCAGGTACTGGGTGATCTGTATCAGTCTACTGAGAACTTTACAAAGATGGCTGAGGCTGCACAAGTAAAAGATGGAGGACTGAGTGAGCCCAGGGAACCTACTGCAGAAGATCAGGCCATCCTTGATGAGGTAAGTGGTTGGGTATTCAATCCTAAGGGCTGGGTCATGTCAGGTGTGATGATCTGCATTGGGATCCTGAGAAGCCATTGACCTGTGTTATGTTTACACCATACAAGTGTGTTCATTGAACTGCATTACATTGTCAGCTTAGAGTTGCATGAATTTTTTTTTTTTTTTTTTTTTTTTTTTTTTTGCAAAGTAAACTTTGCAATGCATTGTAACAATGTAATCCAGTCTGCATGTTATGTGTACCTGCTGGTATAAATGGGGCCCCATGAGGGGGCTCCAATGTACTTATTAGCTTGACATTGTGAATTGGTCTTGTAGTCCCCTATAGTTTACGATGGCAGAAGCTGCAATTCCCAAAGGCTGCCAATGTATGGTGGACATGGACGGTCCTTTTTAATAAGCTTCTTGAGACATTGAGTTGCTGCCATGTGATTGGCTGGTAAGCAATTTGTGTTTAACAAGTAATTGAACAGATGGACCCAATGGAGGCCAGTGAGTGTATATGCAGCCTCTGATTTGTACTTTACTGCTCCTTCTCACAATGAGTCTATGGGGCCTGGCCTTATACCCCCTATCCATAATATGTAATCAGGTGCTGGAACTGAAGTGAATAAAATAGGATTTTGATGTCTTGCATGCTTGTTCTAAAGTGTGTGTGTGTGTGTGTGTATGGATTTGAAGAGCCACTAGAAATGAGGAAAACACTTAACCTTCAATTGCTGTGGGTGTGTGGTTTTTTTTTTTTTTTTTTTTTTTTTTTTTTTTTTTTTGTGTGGGAGTAGAAAATGGCCCAGTGTCTGTGAGCATAAACTAGTTCCCAAGCATTGGTTTGAACAAACTGTCCATTTGTTGGTATCACTATGGGAATGGTGCCCAATTGATGGGTGTCAGTTGATGGAATAATGCCCCAAGGACCAGATAAAGGCAAGCCAATGGCCACATCCGGCCCCTGGCCTGCAGTGACTGCTTACTCTGATCCTCTGCAGCAAGGACTACTATAGCTGGTACTGAGTGCAGGTCTATATCTGGGCCATTCCCAACCTGAACTTTTTTTCTTTTCCAGGTGAAAGAACAGTATGAGAAACAGTCCGGGACCAACCCCAAGGAATTTAAGGCGATCCTCGTCAGTACTCAGGTTGTTGCCGGAACAAATTACTTTTTCAAGGTAATGCTTTGGGCTTTATGACACCTTGTCAGTTTAAGGCGTAACACACTAATGTCCCAATAGTCACTGTCAGTTCATAGCTCTGGCTGAACCTTTTTACATCAGTCTTTGCAACAGGGGAGTGGTAGGTGTTGCAATTTTTTTTTTTTTTTTTTTTTTTTTTGACACATGGTATCTGCAGTTTAAATGCAACACTTCTGGAAAATTTATTTTGCACAATCTTGTAAAATAAGATGTTAAGTAAATGGGTACCTAACATGTCGTGTTTTAATATTGAGTACACCCATGGAACAGCACCGAACTAAAATACTGAAAATATCTCATGATGCTTTAAAAGCCTTTACACCAGGGGTGGGCAAACTTTTTTTGACTTGAGGGCCGCAATGGGTTCATATATTGGACCCGGGGGCCGGACCAAGAGTAGATGAATTATGTGTATGTGTCATCCATAGTAAGTAATATTCCCCCATAGTAATTCATCCCCCATATTAAGTCCCCAAGCCCCCCCGTGTCAATTCACTTACCTTTGCTCCGCGCGTTCCTCTCGCCGTATTCCCACGTCGTTCCGGTGTAGCATGAAAATCTGTCTCCTATGAGGATCTGTCCCCCTCGACGTATCTGCGCATGTGCCAGTTTCAGGCATTAGCAGCCGATCGGCGATCTCCGGCACATGCGCAGATACGTCGAGGGGGACAGATCCTCATAGGAGACAGATTTTCATGCTACACCGGTCTTCAGGGCGGACTGAGAGGAGCCTAGCTCCGCGGGCCGGATTAAAAGGTCCGGCGGGCCGTAGTTTGCCCATTGCTGCTTTACAGGTTACCAGTTTAGAGTTGCATGGGAGGTCTGGAGCTAAAATGATTGCTCCAACTATGCCATACAAGTGTGGTGCAATCATCTTGTGCACAAGCATGGGGGGGGGGGGGGGGGGACACTTAAAGCTATATTTTATTACAGCCTCTAAACCACTCAATCTGTAGAAAGCACCTCTGCTAGAAAGAATTAGGGACAGAAATTTGATACCTGGTGCAGGCTTCATCCCAGTATAACCACTTTAACCCAAGGACATGACATCCTACAGGTTGGAAATGGTTAATATAAAGGAAATGTCCAATGTCTGTCTTGCCACTGGGGAACAGGAGAGGCACATGTTCTGGTGCCCAACAGGCAAAATGGATGTAGGACACATGGGAGCTCTATATCTGGAGAGAGATTTACTTAATAATATAACTCTAATATCGGTGAAAACACAAAATTTAAAGGTGGAATTAACTTTTCTGCTCTTTCCAGGTGGACATTGGAGAGGACACTTATATCCACGCTCGAGTCTTCGTACCTCTGCCTGGTACAGGGGAGGGGCCGACTTTGGTGTCTTTCCAGCCGGATAAGGAAAAGGAAGATGAACTGGAATATTTCTAGGATGGGGATGAGAACCATGTAGTGGTCACATGATCAGGAATGCCACCTCCCATCTTTTCCCAAAAACTCCTTAAAGGACCAGCAAGAAGGAGCTAAAGAACCTGAAAATACAGATCTGATCTTCCAGAAATGTCCAGCATTTGTGGACTGAGATGTCCTGACTTTACACCAACTCTAATTGTGGCTATAACATTGATCTGTATCCATTTGTAAAATCCTGTTCAGTGTTTATAACTTGTTGTAATGAGAACTCTGAAAAGTACAATAAAATATTTTGGAAAAATTGTTACCTAAATTTGCAAATACATGTAAAGCCGCACTGCACAAGTGAAATGCTCTTTATTACATCTAGTGCTCCTGCTATTCTTGCCTAGGATCCCACTACAGGGCCACAGATAAGGGGTTATCAGTCCTGTATGGGACCCAGGCAGCTGGGTAATTCAGATGTGGGCAGGAAGGGTGACTTTGGGGGAATTACTGGAACTGATCCCCTGTTGGCTCTCTGCAGCAGCTGAAAGCTGGCTTCTCTATTGCCTGCTGGCCTTCAGCTGCTGCAGAGCCAACAGGGGATCCAGTAATTCACAAATGTCAAAGTGGTGCCCCTCCAGCTGTTGCCAAACTACACAAGTACCATGAGGCATTGCAAGATTAACAGTTAAGTGTGACTCCCAAAGGTAGAGGCATGATGGGACTTGTAGTTTCCTAACAGCTGGGGGGCCACCAGATTAACACCCTGCTAATATCTTACACCCCCCCCCCCCCCCCCCCACCTGGTCTGGTAAATGTACCATTCGCCTGCTGCTTTTCATTTCTGAATGAACATAACTTCATCATATGGCTTTTTGGATGGAGGGAGGCCCTGTCATGTTGGTTGTATGGGGCCCCGTGGTTTCTAACAGCTGCCCTGCCCACTACCACCTGGGTAGCCCACATCCAGGAGGTAGGCCTTTGCTGAGGTAAGCATGCACATGGGAGGGAATAACCATGCATACATGGGTGTCCCAGATAACAGTACCCAGAGGTATGTGACCAAGCTGGGTCCTAAAGCTAGTGGCACATGTGCAGGATATGTTAAGATGGGACTGGGTGCCATGGCTCCTTGTGGGTCACACTGCCTATAAAGTCAACTTTTACATTGTACCTACAGGTGAGCTTATGAGGCTTAAATCAAACAGAAAAAAGATACATCGGGGGCCTCTATAGCCAATAGAAAATGATAGATGCAGGATAACCTGTGCTCATATCTAATGCCAAATTGTTACTGACTCCACCCAATGTAGAAAAATAGGTGTGGTCACTGACACTCATAAGCAATTCATAGAGAACAAGGATAAAGGGATCCCCATGAAAAGTTGTACAAAAGTGAGCTAAAACTAACAGTTGCCTCAATTAAAAGACCACATAGTGTAGTCACCCAAGCAGGTGGCCACATTCATAGATATGGGGGGGAAGTTGTATAGTATCCAAAGTAGTAGTGAGATTTTATGTTTGACAAATCATGCAAAACTTTATTTTTTTTTTCTATTAACCCTTTCCATTACACTTTCCAAACGACCCTTCTGTCACCTATTCACTTTCTTTGACTTTCCCTTTTTTTTTTTTTTTCCTTCTCTTTTCCAGTTTGGTCCTACAATCTTGCTCTTCTGTTGCTTAACTAGATATTTATTACTGTCCTCGGTTCTTCCTCTTTTACATTCCGATCAGTTCTATATGATCTCTTGGATATCTTAACCACTTGCCTACCGGGCACTTATACCCCCTTATTTACCAGGCCAATTTTCAGCACTGTTGCACTTTGACAATTGCGCGGTCATGCAAAATGGTACCCATATGACATTTTTATCTTTTTTTTTTTCTCACAAATAGAGCTTTCATTTGGTGGTATTTAATCGCTGCTGGGCACTTTACTTTTTGTGCTATAAGCAAAAAAAGTGCAAAAAAAGTTTGAAGAAAAAAGTTTCTTTGTTTCTATTATAAAATTTTTCAAACGGGTATTTTTCTCCTTCACTGATGTGCGTTGATGAGGCAGCACTGATAGGCAGCACTAATGAGGTGGCACGTATAGGCTGCACTGATAGGCAGCACTAATGAGGTGTCACGGATAGGTGGCACTGATAGGCAACACTGATAATGGGTACTGATAGGTGGCACTGACTGACATTACTGCTGGGCACTGACTGGTGGCACTGCTGTGCACTGACTGGCAGCACTGCTGGGCTGCACTGGTGGGCACAGGTGGGCAGAACTTGTGTGCGGCACTGCTGGGCTGCACTGGGGGTCACAGGTGGGCGGAACTTGTGTGCGGCACTGCTGGGCACCGATCATCAGGGCACTGATGATCGGTGCCGATCCCCGCTCTGACAACTGCCAGTTTTGGCAGTGTGAGGAAAGTGCAGCCGAGAACTGGCATTTGCATTTTCCAGTGATCAGCGTGTCATTGGACACGGCTGATCACGTGGTAAAAGGCCGCTGTGATTGGCCTTTTACCACGTCACGTGATCAGCTGTGTCCGTAGGACACAGCGATCACGGAGATCGCCGGGTGCACGCAGGAGAGCGCTTTCTGGGAGGACGTCATATGACGTCCACCCAGAACTGGCCGGCCGCAGTGCAGCCGTCATTCGGCTATCTGCGGTCGGCAGGTAGTTAAAGTCCTTCCATCATCCCATATATTTATTATTTATTTTTTTTAACTTTTCTATCTTATCCTCGATATAGTTCTCTATCTATATCCTCCAGTCTTTTATCTTTGAGGTTTTTTGTTTTTGCCAGAATCTAGGGATCCTGCCTTTAGCCGCATTTAATAAAATCTCATATTGTTTCACCGTTAAATCAGAATTACGGAATAAAAAAAACCCAAGGATCTGTCAATACACTAATCCGCTATCTCCTGTATTTGTTGTATTACTCCTTGCCAAAATTCTTGTATTTTAGTACACTCCCACCTTTCATCCCACAACCCCTCCAACATAAGTGAATTCTCTAATTGTAAATTATGTGCCACATTAGGGGTAGTGTACCACCTTGCTAAACATTTATAATTCACTTCTATATTCATATCCACTGCTCTGTAAACTAATTAAATTTTTTTTTCTCTGTTCATTTTATATTCTTTTTCCCACTTATCCATAAACGGTGGCAGGACACTTCCTGATAACTGAGGATTTTATATATACGAGAGGTAACTTGCTTTCACATAGTATCCAGACTAAAGAGTTTTTTAGTGGCTGCTGGAGCATTGCAACTAAATGTCTTAATTGATAGTAACGCCACTCATCCAACATAGAAAATATTTCTGTCTTATCCTTCAAATCTAATGAACACAAACCCCCATTATCAGTGATTTCTTTTTAGATGTGCATTTCTATCCTTTATCTGTAATATTTTCTTTCCCTGGGGGAAAAATTCTGTTCCTCCAAGTGCTATTAATGAATTTTACTCCCACCCCTTTTGTTTGTGAATTCTGCCCCATATCCTATACTGTGTTAAAATACTTGTGTTTTCTGAAAAATGTTGATGCTCTTGTGGAAGCCAAATATTCGTATCTAATTGTATCCCGCTCAGTGTATTTTCTATCTTTATCCAACTTCTCTCTGGGTTGTAAATCCAGTCTGCTATTTGTGGAATCATCACAGAACAATAATATCTCCTAAAATCCAGTACATTTAGTCCCACATTAATTCTTTCTCTACATAGTAGTTCATATTTAACTCTTGTTTTTTTTTTATTCACCCATATATGAGTATCATCTTCTTTATGATCTGAACAAATGACCCCGGCAGATATATTGGGAGAATGTGAAATTTATACAAAAATCTTTGGGACTATCACCATCTTGACCATGTTTATACATCCTATCCACGAGTGTGATCCTATTGATAGTCTCCTCAGTTCTTCCTTCAACTCCGTTATCAATGGGATGTCATTTTTATGGTATATATTCTTTAAGGAAGGAGTTAACTTTATACCTAAATAGTTCAGTTCCTTTTCTCTCTATACAAAGGGGAAGGTTTTCTGTAAAGTCTGTTTATCATTCTTTAAAACATTAATATGTAACATCAGATATCATAGGGTTAATTTTCAAATTCATTAGATCTCCATATTTTAAGTTTTTCATTAGATTGGGTAATGTCACTCTGGGATTTATAATATAGAATAACATATACACATATATCGCAACTTTATGATCCTCATCTCCTACCCTAATTCCCTTTTTATCTATATTCCTTCATACAGTCACTAAAAGCGGTTCCAAAGATATAACAAAAAGTAGCAGCGAAAGTGGGCATCCTTGCCTTGTTCCGTTGTACATTTTGAAGAACTGTGATAATGAGCCATTTACTTTCAATGCTGCTGATGGAGAACTATATAATTTTTTTTTATCCATTGCAACATTCTGGGTCCAATTCCTAATGCTTCCAGTGTGTCAAACATAAATCCCCAGTCTACTCTATCAAAGGCTGTTTCTGTGTCAATCGACAACACTAACACCGACTGGTTCTTTTTCTTACTCTTTTGCAAGAGGAGTAACTATCATAATCCATTGTCCTTTCCCTCCCTTCCTGGGACAAAGCCCACCTGGTCTAAGTGAATCCAATCTGGCGTCACCTCTTTCATCCTATTTGCCAGAACCTTTGCGTATAGTTTTGTGTCTATATTTAATAGCAATATAGGTCTATAACTGGGACAGAGGGATGGGTTTCACCATCACTGCAAATCTTGCAGTATGTTTTCACTCGTGAATGACGATAGTCAGCCTTGTGAATTCTACTTATACAGCACCACATTTGTATTTCCATTCCATTGGAAATATATTATTAGTTACACTTAGCATGCCCAAGGACTTAGGACTCATCACACCACAGAGTTGCAGTCTAGAAGCATGTGACAGCACAATGGTTTAGTGGTTAGTACTGCTGCCTACCAGCACTAGGGTTGCTGGTTCAAATCCCAACCATGGCACTACCTGCATGGAGTTTGCATATTCTGCCTCTGTGGGTTTCCTCCCATGCTGGTATGTTTT